ACTAGTCACAAGGTGCAGCGCTACTTGTAACAAGGGCATTACTACTAAGAACAAGAGGCTACTATTAGCGATTTGAAGGTTTTGAACATCCGGCCGTCAGAGCCCGGAACACGCGGCGCGTCAGAGGATGAAGCTACGTCCGTAACGTGTGCAAGCCCATCTTGTGATTCTTTTCTCACCGGGTTTGCAAAACAAATAACATGTCTTTGATTCACAAAGGTTCCAATTAACCAAGAATCACAATATGACAATTTAGACGTTTGGTTTAGAATGGCTAAGACATCTGGTCAACAAGAAATTCTTGATCCAAATCAATCCCGAAGTCATCGAATTCAAAAAACCCTCAACAGAAGAACACACAAAACTGAAGACTTAAGAAATGACTGGAAGTAACTTGAGAGCTGGAGCTCCGTGAAAGAATTCCCGACACTGACTGGACTGTTCTGTTAGACCCGTGAAACCCTGAAAACCCCCTACCACGAGGCGATGCCTTTTTCGTTGGAAAAGAAGGCTTCATGGGTCACGTTTTTCGTTTGGGAACCTGCTGTTGAATAAATGTTGGGAATTTTTGGGCTCAGTTCGTGAAAACACTCTCATTTGGTGCAAAAAAAGGGTCCCGGTCAACCAAAACCTGTCAGAAACTCGTCAGCGAAGCCCCGCCTGCTTCACATTTCTGTAGATCGTGGTCCCCGGCAAGCGCCAAAGGATGGTGATTTGGGGCCTGGAGGTTCACCAAGTCCACATCCACTCCGATTTTGAGTAGGGACAAGAATGGTTTAATCCCCACAAAACAAGGGTTATATATAATATATATAAAGGGCGGTTTTAAGGCCATCCACTGACTGGGTGGGTTGCAAACCACCATAAGATCGAGCAGCACGTAACCGAAAGATCGAGCACGGCGGACTGAAAAATAACATGAATTATCATGAATTCCTTTTCTTCAGCCTTGAACAGCCCCGCCCCGCATCGGGACCTTCTGAAAAAAATATGCTAAAACCCTCGAGCCCCCCTCGTTTCCTATACCCCCCTCGTTGGACATATAAAACACCATATCACCGGAGGAAAGGCGCTCTGAACGGCGCTTTTGCCGTGGAGATCTCTCCCGTTGGCCGCGCCAGTGGACGCTGAGATGACCACCTCACGGACTCGTAGATGACAATGGCCAAGGAGAGGCCGACCGCCAGGGCGATGCCTGGCTCTGAGGTGTGGTGATGTGGGCGAACAAGAAGTTGGATGATGCATGTTCTTCAGAGCTGAAGAAAATGAAGAGCAAGGACCTCAACAGAGCCTTTTTTTAAGGCTCAAAAAAGTAGTGCAGTCTGCATGGGCACAAAGTTGGGCCCGCCTGAAACGTTGATCTGCAAAATGGATACCCGACATTCTTCTCAAAATGGCAAGCTCTTGGGTTGGAGGCCATCGCTATTAGGGTGGAGGCCATCGCTCTTAGGGTGGAGGCCATTGCTAGTAGGTTGTCCTAAATGTCCCACGTGCGACTCAGCCCATGTGTGACACCGCTCTGGTGAGAGGCCCATAGCCAAACAACTGATGACAACGGAACCTGTGAGGACACCCAGGAAGAGTGTTCCCAAAAAGGCTGCCACCTGAGCAAACGCGCCAGGTAGGAAGACATGGCGCGGCCAACAAATAAAGAAATCGCACCAATCAAGCACCAATCAAGTCTTGCAGTCGAATGCATGAGGCAAAATGGACATGGATGCTCCAAAAGACTAGCACCGGGCTGAGCTCTACAGCTCTACAGTACAGTGCCGTGGGGTCCATGGGATTTGGAACCACAAATATGATGGACAAGGGAAGACTCAAACATGCTCTCTCTCTCTCTCTCTCCCTTCCTCCCTCAGTCTGGAAAATTGTTGCATGCAAAAGTTACAATGCAATGTTACCTTGAAGAAGAAGCCCAAAGAATATCCCCAACAGCAAAACAGCATTTGCTGTTCGCCTCTATCTCCTTTAAACCCTTTATGGCTCTTCAGACCCCAAGCTTACGCTGTTGGAGAACTTTTTCCTCCGGTTCCTGTGTTGATCAGGTTACAATGGTTTCAGAGGTTCCACGGCACGTTTCCCCATGTCCTCTGTCTAAATGGGGGGTTCTAAAACAAACCACCGACATGGTGGTCCTGTGCCATTGGTCCTCTCAATCCACTATAGTTGGTTTCCAGATGTTCCCGGTTCCGGGGCTCCTCTCAGCCCGGATCAGTGAGCTGAGCGCGGTGCCCGGATCCGGATACCCCACGCGGTGCCCGGATCCGGATACCCCAGGTGTTGTGGGGGTTGTGGCCAAGACTCACAGCAAGATGAATGAGAAAATACCTCATATGTCACCCATTGATCGGGTATCCTGGTATCCTCCCAAAAAATGCACTGAAGTAACTGTGATCAACTGTGTTGAGATTCTAGACTCTAGAACATTCGGCTGAAGGCTTTGCCACCAAATCCTCCAAATCCAACCCCTTCGACTCTGATCGTTGCCACTCTGTAGGTCTGTGACGTCATCGGAATGGATGCCCATCGACATCGGTTGCGGTTGAGAACTCTCGGGCACGCCACCCACAGGAAGAAGTCATTCTTCTTCACCCGCCAAAGTTTGATGGCCTGCAGGCTTGGAGGGTGCCAACAGGGATACCGGATACCCAAAAAAGAATGTGGATTGAGAGTAGATGGCACAAGGGCCCCAAAAAATTGGGTGGTTCAAACGGACCCCCATGGGCCAAAAGACATCTTGGGGTGCCAGTGCCATCTACTCTGAAAGCTCGATACGAAGCCCTTGCTTGGGGAGCGCTCTCACGGCATGGCCCTCTCTGGCCGAGCTCGCAACACACAGAGAGTCGGAAGGCACAAAGTGCGGATCTGCTTGGCGAGAGAATATCTCTTGCAAGAAAAATGATGCCCAAAAGAGCAATCGATCTTCAATGATTTCAAAATCAAACATCATTGGTCCGATGCCTTTTGCGTCAAACCGCGCAAAAAAAGACATGTGTGGCCAGAAGCTCCAGAAACCCGGGCCGCGACCGCAAACCCCCAAACAGCGCTTCGCCGGAAACCTCCACTGGCCTCGGTGTAGGCCACCAAGGGCGCCACCTACAGTATATGGCCCCAATCCGATGCGGTCCCGTCTCCCCGTAAAGGGGAAGCGGAAGAGAACAGGGTGGGCCCAGGCCTGCGCCGTCCCTTCCGACGGAAGAGATTCGAGGGGTCTGGAGACGTCCAATTCTGGGCGTCTGCATATTCTAGCTGTCGGCACCGCTAGAAATTGAAGACAGCACAAAAAAAACACTGATTTGGAATTGATTTGGATTGGCATATGCGCTGTTGTTCAGAAAATAGGTCAGTGTCAATCGATCCATCTATGGGTCTCTGGTGGAAAAATCATTGGAAAAGGATCCTCTCATGAAACAAAACCAATTTCATCCAATTTCAAATTGCTGTGTTGCGGTGAGTTTACCGATGTGATCTCCTATATCTCCTAACACCTCCAATATCCTCCAATCCTTCTCGCCTAGCTTGCTTGAGAATCATTTCCAAAGACTTCAGGGTCCGGTATGGAGTGTTTGGCATTGGCTGAGCTGTGGTACTTCCTGATCAACTGGAAAAGTTCTTCCCCTTCACAGCTCCTCCTTCAGGGTCACCTTTCTTGTTCCTTGCTTTTCTCGGCTCAGCTCGATGTGCTGCTTTTCTCGGCTGCAAGATGTACTTGTGGGGTCACCTGGAGCCCCGGAACTCGGAGCCCAGTTCACCATGCCTCGTAGTGAAAAAGAACCGGGTCTCCTGGTGCCATGACCCACGCCGTCATCTGGTGCAAGCCCAATGGGCGCTGTGAGCCATGGGGTGAATGAATCTCAAGGATTCTCGCAGGAATACTTCAGCAAATCTCTTCCGTTTCAATCCTTCCCCTTGGGCTCCCGAGCTGAACTTATCACAATTGCCGCAAGCACCTGGGATCGTGTGGCAAGCACCTTTCTTCGCTCAAATTGTCGTGTGATCGAGCTTTGGTAAACCGTATAGGCAAATTCAATACTTCCAGGTCCTGTAGAGATCCAGACTAGTTGAACCAAGCAAAAGTGTTCATCGTTTTTTCTCAACGGTGAAACAGGGATTTGTGTTCATCCTCGCATTGCGGGGCTCTGTCTCTGTTTCAGACTGTCCGTGCGTCTGTGTGGCGCAATATTTGACGGCAAAAGGAGGTTGATAAGGCAAGAAAGTTCAAACCATCAGCTGCAATCCTTTCACCTGGCATCCTGGAATTACATCGTCAGGTGTCCTTTCTCACTATTTTTCTGCTATAGAAGCAAAGCAGTAGACTGAAACGGATTATGTCGGTGGCCGTAGAATTGCAGTTCTTATTTTACAATCCTGGTTTGCTTGCAAATAGATTTACCATAGGCGTATCATTCCTTCTTTCTTTTGGCGTATCTCAGGAACGCAGTAGCCTGGCCGCACGAAGACAAACCTGAGGATCGCACAAAATCTGGAAGGAAGTTGAAAAGCGGCGTCAACCATTTCAAGGTGCACCTGGGCACATCTGGCGTCGGACCCCCGCGTCCCCCTTGACGTCCGTGTGGCTACTCCCCGAACCGGCGCCAAGCAAACTCACTCGACAGCGACGACCAGCGTGGCGGCCGTTCTTCGGTCTTTTTTCGCATCTTCGGTCCTTCACCCTGAGATTTGGTCGAACTTCTCCATGAGACCTGTGACTGGAGGGGTCGACCAGACCAACGAGTCGACCGTCGACACGTTTTTGAGTCGAAGTCTAAAGAAATCAGGTCGGTCGGATATGGTTCGTGAATGGTTGTGGTGCTTCTTGGCCCTCTTGTTCAAGAGGCAGGGGTTGGCAGTCTGACTGCAGTCAGCGAATTCAATTAGAATGGCACTGCCCTGAAAATGGTCCATGGAGGGCCCAAGGAGCCATTCGGCTCAAGTTTAAGGAGTGACAAACCCGTGTCCTGAGCAAGGTGACACACCCATGTTCTGAATCTCTTGGAGCTTAAGTTCAGAAAGGTGTATTTCCATGTGCTTAAACTCCATGCGGAAATAAAATCAGCTTCGCACTGACAGCCTGACAGCAACCAAATAAGTCTATTCCCCCCCATGGAGGAACATGGAAGAACCCCACCACAATCCATGCAGCTTTCTCAAAACAATGCAAGTGTATATACTGTTAAATACTATTATATACTGTACTTCGGGTGATCCCCACCATGACATGTCAATCAGTTGTTTTCGTGCAATGGTGGGGAGCATGTTGCCATGGTCTTGAGTTTTGTGGTTTTCGATTTTGCTTGTGCTTTCTCGGGTTTGGGATTGTTCCTTTAGTGCTAAGGGGGTTCGCGTCAGGGTGTCTCCAGGGTGTCTCCAGTTGGCATGCAAAACTACTACCCTGTGACCACGTGCCACGCAAATGCCACACACACACAGGTACTTATATATAACAATATCTTTAATATTGTTGTAGTTGTGTGTTTGTGGTTGTGTTTTTGTGGTTGTCTTTGAGTGTTGTGGATGTGTGTTTGTGGTTGTGTACTTGTGGTTGTGGTTGTGTGCTTGTGCGCTTTAATTGTGGTTGTGTGCTTGTGGTTGTGATTGTGGTTGTGTTTTTGTGGCTGTGTGTGTGTGTGTGTTTGTGATTGTGTGTTTGTGGCTGTGTGTTTGTGGTTGTGGTTGTGCGTTTTAATTGTGGTTGTGTGCTTGTGGTTAGTGGTTGTGATTGTGGTTGTGTTTTTGTGGCTGTGTGTTTGTGATTGTGTGCTTGTGGCTGTGTGTTTGTGATCGAGTGTTTGATTGTGCTTGTGATTGTGTGCTTGTGGTTGTGTTTGTGTGTTTGTGGTCGTGCTTGGTGGCTTGTGTTTGTGTACTGTGGGTGTGCTTTGTTGGTTGTGTGTTGTGTATTGTGTGTTTCTGGTTATGTTGTGTGTTGTGTGTGTTGAGGTCCTGTAGCGCCCACTGCGATCTGGCGCTTGCCGTTGAGGTACGGGGCAGAGGAGGAGAAGAAGAAGGCTATCTCTTTAGCGCGACGCGGCGGAGTCAGTCTCCAGGTAAAACGCCACGGCCAGAGGTCGGCCGTGGGACGCTAAAAAGGCTATCTGTAAAAATCGAACAACCCTCACCTGACAGGTGGGGAAAAACATCCGAGAAAACCACCCCCAAACTCGGCCGCCCAAACCGCGAACCGCTCGGCCGCCCAACTGCTGAACTCCGCTCGCCTGCCAGTTCTGGGTCCCTCTTCGACTCGGAGGCCCACCAGTCTCCACGGGAAGGTGGAGAGGACTCCTCGCGCGCCTCCAAGAGCAAACTGCTCCTGTGGTCACGAGGCGAATAACATCTCAGGTGCCAACTCCAGGGCACCACGCCACAGTTTTGCTGACTAGCTATGTTGATATTCGGAGCCATTGAATAAGTATATCTACCGCCTTCGTTTTGCCTTTGATGTTTTGTAGACGAGTGAAACCAGACTTGCTGAATTATTACCCATCGTCGAAACGAGGTTTGAGAGAATCCCTGCTGGTTTGATCGCTCATGTGTCCCATTAAGGGCTGTGTCATGAGCATCTGCAGTTTAGTCTCCATCCACATTAGATCTGCCGAATGGCCTCTTTCGGCAATCTTTCGAAACCGACTCTTCGGGCGGTCAAACACCCGCAGCGCCCGCGACACCGAAACATGTTAAAACCAACATGCGCGGTTTCAAAGGGAGAGTCGACACGCACCGAGAGCACCTGCGGGTCTAAGACTGCCGATGTCAACAAGCGCCCGTGTCTGTTAGTTCGGACTCCTCTAGATCAGGGGGGATCCCTGAAGGAGGGGACCGCACAAGAATGGCATCTGACCTCGCTCTAGCGGGCAGGGGTTGTCTTGTACCAAATGGCCACCACACCTGGCCCTAATGGCCCTAATGGCCACGGCCACCTGGCCCCCGCCGAGGCGCTGGACGAGGTGCATCCGCTCCCGGAGAGCTTGGAAGGCTCCCGCCTGCGGTAGCAGCATCGCCAGGCCCAACAAGCACTTCCTGAGACCACCGGTCTGACCGGTAAAGAGAAAGAAAGCCGCCAAAGTACCTTCATCCATTTGAAGAGTCGGGTTCTTTCAGAAGCCCTGCTGGTTGGTGTTCCAAATGTTTTCCAACCTTAAGTGGATTAAACTCAGAGATCTTTTTTTCTCTTGGCACGTGCCCCAGAAGCGAAACGGAGCACATGCCAATGCAAAGATCAAAAAACAACATCACTCGTTTTCAGTGGACACCTTCTTCCAGGGAGTGGCAACTTTCTTTGCGATATGATTTTTTCTTGAAGCGATGCTGCTTCCGCCAAACTACCATAAAGTGTCACGAAGCGGCATTTAAATGACACACCATGGTAGGCGCAGGTATAATTACTCCCTTTGACCCTCACAAAGCGTGTCCTTCTTCCAAATTCCCAAGTATCTTGGTTTCGTGCCAATTGCATCCACTTGCATAAACTGGTTGGACACGCTTCTGAAAGATCCTCAACATCACATCGGATTTTTTTCCCCCCCGTACATGGTATTGTCGTTCCGGACGAAGTCAGAGTTCAGATCATGAGAGTTCCGGCTGTGTGGCTGTGAAACTGTCCGGGACCTAAGTGCTGGTACGCGCTGGTTTGGCACCGGCGTGTTTTGGACCATAGTTTGAAGGATCCTTAGTGCTGTTTCAGAGGGATAAATGTATGACTCCTTAGAAGAGAGATGAAAATCAACGAAATGAAGGCGGAATGGAGAAACAAAGTGGGAAGGCAAAACAAAGGAGGCTGGGCTGAAGGACAGCCCACCTTTGACAAGTGCTGGAAGAACATATTGATATTCAATATCATCTTAAATCCTTATCATCGATCCAAATACAAGTATATATTACTATATATATATTACAATATTTATTGATAATGTATACCCATAATTACCCATACACTCCAGCTTACATTGACCCCCGCTGGCACCACCCCTGGCCTGATCGGCATCTATGGCATTAATCCATGGAGCGTCTGGGCTTCTAGTTGTATTGCTTCGTTCTAGTCGTCGTCCAACGAATCTCACGAGTCCGCCCAACTGCGCGTGGTGGAGGGGCCCAGAATCCGTCCGCATGAAAGGACTTCGGCCCCAAAAAGTCAGGCGGCCAGGTGCCCCAACCCCCAAGCAAAGACTCCGAAACGTCGAGGTGTTTGGTTGAAATACAGTGTCCTGATAAGATCCATGCAATGAAAATGGGAAGCAGGGTCTCGGGGTTGAAGAAACCAGGGTTTTGGTTAGTAGGTACTCGGAATTAGCCATCACCGCCATACATGTGCATTATTACAAAGAAATAACCTTCAGATAAATTGTACATCTACGCCTGAAAGAGAACCAACAAAATTATTGAACCATCATAGTTCTCCACTTGAAAAACAATTATTCTTATGGCTGTGGTATCACATGTCTCACTATATCTGTCAATGCCAATGTCACTTCCACACAGACCTGTCACGTTGACTCCTAGACCTTCTTCTCCAAACCGCCCGCCGAGCGTCAGCAGCTCCGGATGCCGCTTGGGTTCCAGGAGTCGTAAACGAAGCCGAGAGAAAATGGGCGACTCAATCAAAAGCACCAGCTGATCCAACTGTTGCCTAGCGCACCGCGCACCATCCGAGCGAGCACGGGCTCCGACCGAGCACCCGAGAGCGCGCACCCGAAGGCAGCCAGCGCAAGAAGCGCGCTTGCGCGTCCACGTCCGAGGCCGGTGGAGCATTGGAAAGGAAAGGACACCGATCGCAGGGTATCTGAAAGAGAAATCCGATCGCAGGGCATCTGAAGTTGTTCGCTGTGGAAGGGGACTGCCTGCATGTCTTGTGTTGAGACATCGGCAGTGCTAACATCGGATCTGCAAAACAGTCACCAAGGAATCCAAGGAACATGGTCACCCATGTCACCCATGTGATCACGGCAAACAGTCCCGAGCAACATCAACCGAAGAAAAAACCCAGCCACATCGACACAAGTAAGGTTCTGAATCCACAAATCAATGGTTGCACATCAGTTGAATCAGACTCCGAAGAACTGCTAATGGTGCCTCCGGTCGGGCGACCGGTGTGTGTGTGTGTGTGTCAAACCCTGTCTCCAAGGGTTACTTCCTACCAATTGTACTACCAAGAAGGGGGTTGGAGAGGACATGTGAGGCTCCATCCAACGAAGCTCCTCACATGATCCTAGGATATCGGCAAGAACGCTTGCCGACGTACCTGCACAAGAAACTGTTGCTCACGCTGTCCAATCTCTCTTTTTGTTTCCATGGTGGTTCATGATACTTCCCACAAGCCATTTCCCTCCGCTGACCTGCAGCCGCTCTGCCGCTGTGCGCTTTC